TGTAAATTACTTCACAGGCGCTGGGTAATCTCCATTCCTTTGATCTCTGCCTATCCCGTGGCTCATTTTTGCCTGAGGAGCTGAAGCCATTCATAGGGTAACACGTCCCAGGCGGCTGGTCAGCCTTTATAAGGGATGGTTTTCTTAGTTTAATGTCTCTGCTCTGGGAAGCTTATGCTCTCCTCTCAAGATGCATTAAAGCTTGTCTACAGAAGGATCCAAGTGTCCCATGTATGATTTCTTGCTGGCGAGAAATACAGAGCACGCGCGGGACACTTGTGTAATCGAATAGTCCACACAAGGTCATCCTCGTAAGTACATTTGAGGCCAGCCTAGGCTACCTTGCCTCAGGAAATAAAAAAATTGATATTCTTCTGGTTAGATACACTGAGTAGGATCATATTCTTTTTTACTTACTTAACTGAGCCAAAGGACAGCTGTAACCAGAAATCCAATATGTCAATATGACTTTTACATCATTTTATAAAAGCATTTTATTGTATTTTAAATTATGTGTGAGAGTGTACACGTGTCTGTGAGGGTATGTCCACAAGGATGCAGAACACTGATATTCTTGGACCTGGAGTTACGGGCGATTGTGAACTGTCCAGTGTGGGTTCTCTGTAAGAATAGTAGGCACTTTTAAGCACTAAGCCATCTCTCCAGCCCCCACCATTTTCAAGGGGAAAATACTGACCCTATCCACCCAGGAACTTCCAGTGTAGAGTTCCCCCCCTCCCCCCGCTTTGTGCTCCTCTCCCCAGTCTCTAAGCTTGGATATTCACAAATGGAGCATTGGAACCATCCCACCCAGGAAAAGTCAGGGTTGGCAGGGATGCTCTGAGAATGGTGGTTATTAACTGTCAGTACTCAGGCATCTGTACTGGCCTGTCCTTAGGGTTCTGACAGGGTACGCCCTCAGCTGCAACCACTAAGAGCACCACCTGTGCATATTCACCATGTTCCCCTTTAAAAGGGCCCTGCCCACCTCCCCTCCCTCTCTCTCTTTCTCTCCCTCTCTTTGTTCCACTCTCTTTCTCCTTTTCTCCCTCTCCCCCTTTCTCCCCTCTCCTGCTGCTCCTGTCTCTGGAGGCCAGTCTCCCCCCTCCCTTTCCCTAATAAAAATCCCCTCTACTTGAACCCTGTCTCATGGCATCTTTCTCTTGAGCTCTGCTTTTCTTAAATTACAACAGTTACTACCACCCAGCAGCAGGTTCACACGGGGTGGGACCATTACCTATGGACTTGCCAAATGCTGTCTCCCATTGAGAGCATGAAAAACAATGGGAGCTTTTAAATACAAAGGGTCCCATGGGAGGAAAGAGGGGAAACCTTGAGTTAGACACCACGAACCTGAACCTTGTTCTACAGCTAACACTGTGAACACCCAACTGATCACAAGTCTGAGAAACTTGTCTATAGAATGCTAGAACTTTCTGTCAACAGTCCAGGATTAGCAGAAAGAATGTTGGAATATGATTCGGGATGTCTGTGTGTGTTTGTGCACACGTGGGTGTGTGTGAGTGTGTAGGAAGGTCAGAGGTTGAAGTTGGGTGTCTTTCTTGTTTACTCTCCACCATTCATTTAAATTTTTAAGTTGCATTTATTTTGTGTGCTTGTGTGTGTGTGTGTGTGTGTGTGTGTGTGTGTGTGTGTGTGTGTGTGTGTGCATGAACACACGACAGCCTCATGTCAAGGTCAGGGGACAACTTGCAGGAGTCAGTTCTCTCCTTCTACCATGTGGCCTCTGGGAATCAACCTCAGGTCTTCAGGCCCAGCAGCAAGTACCTTTACCCACTGAGCCTTCTTGCTGGTCCTTCACTTAGCTTTTTGGCATGGGTTCTGGAGTTCAAACTCAGGACCCCATGCTTGTAGGACAAGCATTTTACCAGCTGAGCCATCTCCCCAGTCCATGCCTAGATTTTAACATTGACTCCTTCAATTATTAGCTATGTGAATTTAATTTGACTGGTAAACATAGTAACTGTCAAACAGGACTAACATTGGCTACTATTGCTTGTCACAGTCACGGTCCAGTGCTATGGTGACGAGCTGAAATAGGCTTGGGAAGAGTTTTGAGAATCACCAAGTATATGCTTTCTCCTCCTTCACCACCATCACTACCCAACAGCACAGTCAGCAAGGGCCTGCTGCCTGGAGGACTCTATGCTGCCAGGGGGAAGAATACAAAGAAGCCTGGCAGCTATTATTCTTCTAGGTAAATTAATGGGGGGGGGGTGCAGAGTTCTTGATAGTTCTGTGGATGTGAAGACTGCTCAGCACCCGTAAGCAACTCCAGGTGCCGGCTCTCTGGCTCCTGTTGCCACTTTTCACTTCCTACCTGACTTTTCCAGTTGTCTGGGAGGGGTAAGTGGTGGTTGGGGCCGCCATACTTCTCGTTGTAGTAGAAGTAGGTGTTGAGGTCGGGGAAGTTGCGGTTCAGGTCCACTCCGTTTGCGTTGTTCCTGCCAACCAGATACCCAGATGCATTTGGGCCCTGGGAGAAATGAAGAGAGGAAAGATGAGCATTTAAGACAGAGTCCTGTATTTCAAGAGTGTGGTGTCACTTTTAAAGATACTAACTATATTAGTTACCCTTCTATTTCTGTCATAAAATACCATGACTAAAATCAATTTAAGAAAAAAAATGGTTTTATTTCAACTTATGGTTCTAGAAAGAGAGAGAGAGGGGGAGGGAGGGTGGGAGGGGGAAGAGAGAGAGAGAGTGAGTTTATAATGGGCCAGAAAGCAGGGCATGGCTGACATACCACCACGACACAGGGCATGGCTACAGGAGCAGGAGGTTGGCTGATCACGTTTAATCACACACAGGATACAGTGGGAGGGGACAGAAAACAGAGTGAGTCACCCTTCCAAGCAAGGCTCCAGGAACACCGTGGAGGAGGCAGCGGTGGCACGGAAGAGGGTTGTGGAATGCTATCTCCCAGGCATGACACGGCTATTGCATTAATGAGCTCAAATTATGTGTGTAAGACAGATTATGTGCACAAGATCAGGCTCCTCGAAATTCCCTAGAGCCCACCCCTCTCTGAGGGTGTACAAGCAGCTAATGGTTGCTAGGGAGGAAGGCTACTGGGAGTTCTTCAGTGGTGTGTAGCCACAAGTAAAATGCTTGTGCTCCAATAATTGACCCTTCACTCATGCTCACAAAAGCAACCTCAATCAAACCCTGGGTCACATGCAGGAGGTAGAAAGGAGGACTTCATATATGCGTATGAAAATGTCACCAAGAAACCCTTATGTATAATTAACATGTGTTAGAGAAACCGAATTCTGAATTGATAGGATTCTTATCTTCCGAGTAGTCTTAAACTTCTGGCTCCTTTCATTTCTCTGTTCACAGTTCAGATTTAATCTTTATTTGTTCATGTATTCACTCACCTCCTCACTCATCCATTTAGTCAACAGCCATTCTCTTATACATTGTCAATCAAAGGTCCTCAGACACTGGGAAAAGAGCTAAGTGAGGTATTTTCTAGCCTCCTGGGAATTCATAGAATACTCAGGGAGATAGACGTATACATAAGTAAATATAAAGTGATATAACAGAGATGTGTTAAGATTCCCATTAGGGCTGGCTGGGGCTGTAGCTGGGGCTGAATTGCTAAAAGTGCTTGCCTAGCATTCGAAAAGCCCTCTGTTTAATCCGTGGCACGGCAGACTAGCAAGTATGATAACATTTGTATGGTTCAGAAATTCAAGGTCATGTTTGTTGCACAGCAAGTTCAAGGCCTGTCTGGCCTACATGGGATCCTGTTTCAGAGCTGCCCATCTGTCTGTCTCTGATTGAGAGAGAGAGAGAGAGAGAGAGAGAGAGAGAGAGAGAGAGAGAGAGAGAGGTGAGTGTGTGGGGGGAATCATTAGAATTATTTTGTGTGTCTCTGGAGAAGGGACTAGTGTCCACTATAGCCCTATAGACTAAGTGGGTAAAGCTCAAATTCTTGGCTATTCCCAGAAGTGAGGTGAATGAACCTCACTTCCTATTGGAAACTCAGAGATGCCATTCATTATCATTTTCAGCATTTCTCTTTCTCTCTTTTTTTTTTTTTTTTTTTTTTTTGAGACAGGGTTTCTCTGTGTAGTTCTTGTAGACCAGGATGGCCTTGAACTCACAGAGATCCATCTGCCTCTGCCTCCCGAGTGCAGGGATCAAAGGCGTGTGCCACCACCGCCCAGCTCAGCATTTCTCTTTTTACATGGGCATCCCACTAGCATTTTATTTTTAGATTGCACTGAAAACATGACGTTTTAAAAAGTTCTAAGTTACTTACATAATTTCTGTTCCAGTGCGAACATTTATTCAACTTTTGAGTTTGGTGTGCACCTCTACAGCAGTTTTCTCACCGTTTCTCGTTCTTAGCAACTCTTGATAGTCAATACTAAGAGCACAGGCTTCATGGCTTGGTTTTGTACACAACTGGTCATTGGGCTGATGGAGGAAGGGCTTTCTGGGCTGCAGGTTGTGGCTTGGTGTCCAGAGTGTTTACTTAGTATGCGTGAAACTTGTGGATTTCATCTCCAGCAGAGCCAAAACCAAAAAGGAAGAGGAAGAAAAAGGAGGGGGGACAGGAGGAGTAAGAGCAGGAAGAAGAGGAAGAGGAGGAAGGGGAGGAAGACCATAACCTAGCTGAAGGTCCCTAGAACAAAGAACGGGGATTCTGAGCATTGCACTAGCAGCAGTGTAGACTCTGGAGAAACAGATGCTAGGCCTAGAGATGCAGCTATGACCCCGGCCAGCTGGACACCTGAGTCGGGAGGATCCTATGTTTGAGACCTGCTTCGTGAGCCTGAGCAATTTTTGCAGCTCCTGTCTCAGAATAAAAATGTAAAAAGGGGGGCTGGGGAGTCCAGCGGTGGAGTACTTGGCTAGCATGTTCAGTTTAAAGCCTCGGTAGTTAAAAGAGGGGGAGGGGAGGGGAAGAGGAATCATCTACAATTAACCCCCAACCCCAAGATCTGGGGAAGGTGGGTGCTAACGGTACAGGAAGGTGGGTATTTGGTAATGCCCTCTCCCAGCTGCAGTGTTTTACACGTTAGCAGGACTAGTGGAGAGGGCACTGGAGTTCAGAGCCCACAGTTACTGCCGGTGGAGCGGTGGAGCGTTTCAGGGATGCTAACATTTTAACCCTTTGCTTCTGCCTCTCCCTGCACCCCAGCGGTTTTACCTCCCTCTTCTCCCTCTCATTTCTGCCCCCTCCTCTCTCTTAACTGATATTCACAAAGGGACACGGGACACACTGTCTACTGAATCATTTCATAAAATGGCTTTAGCCGCTTCGTTGTGTCTCCCTTGGACTGCATACCTGCGCAGCAGCCACCTCGTAGCCGTCGGGGTTCATGGAGGGCAGGATATGAATGCGCGTGTCCTGGATGAGGCGCAGGATTCGCTGGTTCCGGTTCCGGAACTCCTCACAAAGGAACTCCGACAGCTGCAGCAGCAGCTCACGGCCCAGCACCTCATTCCCGTGCATGTTACCCACATACTTGACTTCCGGTTCCACTGGAAACAGAAACACCAACCAGCTCTTGAAGGGACAGGCAGTAGAATCACAGGTTCAAGGCCAGCTTTAGCTATATAGTGAGTTCCAGGCTAACCCGGGACTCACAAGACTGTCTCACCCCCCACTCCACTCCCTCCTCCCCCTGTCAAATAAAAGGAAAGAAATCTGAGACTTTCACTAGGTCTTTCTCAATGATCCCTGAGCCCCTTCCTAACAATTGCATTTGGAAAAGCCATAGAAATCCATGTCTGGGATAATAATGACCACCATTTATTGAACTCCCAATTGTACTAGCTGTTCATGTTTGTCATTGCCAACCTTCACAGAAAACGTGTGGAGTAGGTCCCATAGCCTCAGCGTGAAGGAGAGTGAGTGGTGGAAGATGGAAGGAACTTGTCTGAGTTGGCCTGTGATAGACGTCAAAGAGAGTGAGCCCTCAGTTCCGTGGAGGAGAGCACTCACAGACACCCGGCACACTGCTCAGACACCAGTCTTTCTGGGCAATGGCATTTCCCCAAAACCTCTCTCATAAAGAGCTCTTGGTCCTAGGATAATCTTCCCTGTTGAAGATGTAAGTTCTTTGGCTTATGGGGCTTTGGAATCCCTCTTCAGAGCCGGAAAGGCCTGTCTTGAGGCGTGAAAAGGGAATCCACTTCTGCCTGGGTTCTTGCTTTTCCCTTTGCCACACTAGCTGTTAATGGGCGGACGTCAGAAGTGAGGGTCTGTAAAAACCTCTGGGGCAGTGGTTCTCAACCTTGCTAATGCTGTGATATGACCCTTTAACACAGTTCCTCATGTTGTGGTGACCCCCCCACCACAAAATTATTTTCATTACTACTTCACAACTATACTTTTGATACTGTTATGAGTTGTAAATATCGGATATGCAGAATATCTGATATGCGACGCCGTGGGGTGGAGACCGCTGTAAGGTCACTAAATATGAGACAGCTGTGCTCCTTTTAAACAAAGCTCCTGCCGGTGCTTCCTTCTTTCCTACATGACATATTTCTGCTTCCCTGCTGGCTGACTCTGCCTTCCTGTCCCTATTTCCTTGTGGTCCCCACAGGTCCAGCTCAAACACTGTAAGTCTGTGTCACCAACTTGAGCTCTTCTTGTTAGAAGTGAGTCCTTGGTGGCCTTCCCTTTAACGGTTCTTACTTTTCTGGACTCTATCTACATATGCACATACACTGCTTCCCTTATGGGACCTAGTATCAGCCAAGTAGATGATGTTAACATATGTTTAGAAACAAAATCCATCGTTATTTATCTTAGTACTCCTGTATAGTAAGAAATTACCAATACAGAGTCAGGTAGAAATATAAGGGTATTTAATAGGGAAAAGCCTTACTTACAGAGCGAACCAGCCAGCCGGTGGTAGTCTGTACAGCAAGAAGCAAAGAGAAACCGAAACCGAAAACGCAGTCCCCCTACTCACTCTGACCACGCCCTCACAAGCCCTCAGGTACTCTTGTAGCCAGCCCCTAAGAAGGCGTGGCTACAGCTTCCCCTACACTCCTGTATATAGCAAAGCTCTCTAAAAGAATGCTTTCAATCCACAAGGATCATATTTTAAAAAATAATATGCAGTATATTGGCATAGTGGTATAGTAGCACTTGCCTTAAGTCTCAGCACTTGGGTGTCAGACAAGCAGATCCCTGTGAGTTTGAGGCCTGCCTGGTCTACATAGCAAGTTCCAGGCCAGTAGGGCTATGTAGAAAGACCCATCTCAAGAAAAACATCATTTTATTCAATACATACTCTATTTCTTTAGTCTTTTGTCTTTTTTCCCTTCACATTCTTTCTCTCTCTCTCTCTCTCTCTCTCTCTCTCTCTCTCTCTCTCATTTCTTGCTTGTTTCTTTGTTTGTTTGACACTTGGATAGCTATAGAGACCCAGACTGTCCTGAAACTTTCTATGTAGACCAGGCTGGCCTCACAGAGGTCTTCCTGCTTCTGCTTCCGAGTGCTGGGAATAAAGATATGTAACACCACACCCAGTCCCTTCCTTATCCTTTTTTATTTTAAGGAAATATTTGTGATCATAAATAGCAGGTATTTGTCTTTGGCAAAATAAAGTCTGGAAAATCTATTTAGTCTCCTCTATTCTCTTAGTTCTCGAAACAACGTGAGACTCAGGTGTAGAAGCCGCTGGTCTGGTTCACCCAGCGCTGTGTTGAGTGTTCAGTGGGTGCTCACTAGCAAGCCCTCTGCTTCTAACTTCAATAGGGACAGAATGCATCTGCTTCCCACAATAAGCGCCACCAGCAATCATTTGGGCTGGAGCTCTCACGCCTTCACACCTGCATCTTTGTAACACATCTCCCGCTGGGTCTTCCTGCATCTGTGTGGCTCCATTGGCATCCATGCTTCCCAGTCAGGGGTTGACA